ATTACTTCAGGAAATATTTATCACTCCTTTCTTTTACACCCTGTATACACAGAATAATAATTTTATAATCTAATAGTTCAATTGCACAACATTCAATTAAACACATTATTGATAACTCCTTTACAAAATTCAATACACGGTATTGAAGTCTATTATTAACAATAATACACGAGCCACCTCTTCTTCTTTCTCTAGTAAAGCTCGCAGCTAGCTTATAATTTGGTAGAGTTAAGTAATTTTCGATTTCGCAGCTCATGTTGTGTTCTGTTACACACAAGATATCAATATTCCTATTTTGGTATATTAAAAGTTCGTCGCTTTTTCTCAAGAGTCCGGCTATGTTTTGATGCAGTATGTTTAGTTTATTGATATAATAGAAAGATGTGTTTTTCTTTCGCTTCTCCTGTTGGTTAACGAAAAACGACTCTGATGATGTTTCACCTGTGTTGTTTTCTTTTATTTTGTACTGAAGAATATCATTCATCAAATGACACAAATCTGTGATCAGTATCGTCATTCCAAAATTATTGAGAGACCCATTTTGCTTATAGAACGTTCTGTCATCGTATGTCAAGTTTTGGTTTGAGTCTAAAATCCAGGCATATTCAATATTAGTAGCATCTAAATTTAGTAGATTATTAAAATTTTCCACTCTCCAGTTGAATAAATTCGAATATGGTGTGATCTTGTAAGTCGGCGCGCAGACTATTACGTTCGTGTGTTTTATTTCTTGCAAAGCTTTGCGAATATACTGTAATAGTACCTGTATATCTGTTGTTTTTTTGAAATCCTCCTCGCCAATAATCAACACACAAAAATCTTGCATAGTGTAATCGTAGAGATTTGCCTTGATGTTATTCACTAGGTATTTAATGCCACACTCGGGCGTAAGATAGTGGCAAAGAGAATATTGTTGTGGTATAATTTTCTCCGCAATCTTTACTATTTTTTTCATCTTGTTTGTGCTTAGTATACATATATTCCTTTTTTTCGATAATTCGTCATTTTTTTGAAATTTCGATGTGTTTTTTATTTTGGTCGTAATGATCGGTGTTTGTGAGTGGGTTCCTTTTGTGATGTCCAAATTACTCTTTTGTTTGTCACTTTGAGTTGGTGTGGAGTAAGTTTTTTCCATACCGAAGTTTAATTTAGTTCTACTCAAACTTTTCCGGTTTAGTTTTGCTGGGAGTAATTTGTATGGGAGAATTATAAATTTGCATAAGTGTTTTTATTTTATTCTCATACTTTTGGTTAAGTTTCGTCAATGAGCTATTTTCAGCCAAATTTTATGATCTCTTTTATGATTTTTATGATCTCATTGTCTGCTGACTCCAATTTTTGCTGCAACTGTTGAATAGTATTTTCCATCTCTTTAATGACTTCCCGATTACATTCGCTGATCTCCGGACAGCTTCTGTTCATTATATGGGGGGAAGCAATTGACGAATATTCCTCATCATCGTTGTTTTCGTCATGTGGTAAACTTTCAAAAGAATTTTCAGTACATATATTTAGTTTATAATTGATCTTGGTAGGTCTCGTGGTCACATTTTCAAAATTGATTTCCTGAAGTGTAGATTTACTTAACCCTTTGTCTATTATTGATTCTTTACAAGGTTCGCACTTCCACGTAGATTAACTAGTCGGTGTCATTAGATCGAACCTGTTGTCTGATACAGTTTTAGTGCAGTCTGGTACATGGAATATGCCCTCACAATCGTGGCACTTAATATATCTTTTTATAACTATTTCGTTTCTACACTTGGTACATAGTGGCGCCATCGTGTGTTGTATAGATAAATTATTATTTTGTAGTGACCTCTAGCGTCGAGTGGCTGAACTATAATATTTATTGATGAATTATTGAGCCGTAAAGTCCCTCTAGTGTCAAATGGATAGATTAAGGTTTTCAAAGATTTTCGCTAGATGTCGCTAAAATTTCATACATGTTGTACCGCCCTCTAGTTCGTACTGAGCAATATTTGTTACATGTTCTAACGAAATAGTCGACGTTGAGCAACTATTCCTCGGTAGATGGTACTGATGAGATGGAGACAATGAGATTCTTCAAAGTATTTATAGGGTTCAAAGTCCAATTTACCGTACGTTTAACGAAATATACGTTACATTCTTGAAATTTAAATTTAAACAACACTTCCTATTTGCCACTAGCAAAACTTTGAACTGTTTCGTTAAGAAACAGGTTTGAGTTTATAAGATACAACTTACATTGGTTTCTTCACAAGTAATGTTCAAAAAAGTCATTGAAGGCAGGAGTTGTTGATAATGAATTATTATCCATCGAAACCTTTCACAAACACTTCCACAGTTTATTTAAGCCACTATTATCTTATCTATAATGTTTGCGACACTGAAATTAAACTTTTAATATTTTTAAAGAAAATTAAATGCAGACACAGTGTTAGTACTGGCAGCGCCACCTGTCGTCGTGCGCAGAATATTCGAATAAAATTGTTAAGAACGGAGCTTGGTAGTAGCTAGTGGAAATTTTCGGTGATAACGAGGTTTCATTAGAAAAAAAAGCTCTTTTCGGTAAGCAGTTTGTTTTATTTTACATGTTAGGTTAGGTATTTAATTTTATATTTTTGTGTCTTGCCATTCTACACGACCTTCGCTTACAAAGTACTTAGCATATCTATCTCTAATGTTTAAAGATGACGGTGTACCTCTTCCTGCATGTAATCTACTAAGATTACTCATTGGCGCAGTGTATAAAGTATCTTCAAACTGCATACTATCTCTTTTTCTGACAAAATTATGTAGCACGCAACATGTCTTTATTATGTCTTCGGCAAAATCTATGTTAACGTTTATAGGCCTATGAAAAATACGCCACTTGTTCGCTAAAATCCCAAAAGTGCACTCAATATTACGTCGGGCTCTAGATAACCTATAGTTAAAAATTCTTTTTTCGTATGTTAACGATCTACCTCCATAGGGTCGCATTAAATTTTCCGTTAAGCCAAACGCTTCATCACCAACGATGACATATGGTAGTGGTGTAGGGTCTATGTTGGATATTGGTGTGGGATTTGGTATTTGTAATGATTTTCGAATTAATCTTTTATAAAATACAGAATTTTTAAATATTGCAGAATCACTACTTTTTCCATATGATCCAATGTCAATGAAAATAAAGCAATAGTTAGCATCACAAAGTGCCAGCAATACTACAGAAAAAAAGTTTTTGTAATTATAATACAAAGATTCAGAATCTTTTGGCATTGTAATCCGTATATGCTTGCCATCTATGGCGCCTATGCAATTCGGGAAATTTGCAGATCTTTCAAAGTCTATAGCTATTTTCTTCCATGTGTCTTCATTCGGTTCGGGCATGACCTTTTTTGCGTTTGTTTTCCACAAAGCTCGACATACTTGACGGACAATTCCTGTAATTGTAGATTTGCCAAGACGAAAGTTGTAATAAAGTTCTCCAAAGGAACAACTAGTACCCAGATATCTGAAACAATAAAATAATTATAATTAAATATAGTATTGTTTACCGGACGCAGAGATTTTTTGGCGCTCTCCTTCATAAGACTGTAAAAAAAATCTTAACTATAGTGATTTATTTTTCAGGTGTAACATTGCAAAAAAAGTGGAAGAACATCCGTGATGCTTACAATAAGGAATTCAAGAAAGGCAAATCAATTCCTTCTGGTTCAGGTGCATGCAAAGGTTCAAAGTACATGTATTTTGAACTTTTTGATTTCGATAGAAAACAAAGAAACAACTACAAACATAGAAGAAGCGAAAAATGAGGAAAGTGTAGACTTCATTAAAGACCAAAACAATTTTGTGAATGTACGTGATATACGCTCCCCGCCCAATAAAAGAAAGAAGAAAACGCTATCAGAAAATCGATTGGCTGACATCTTAGAAGAGAGCATTCAGTCACGGGATAAAATACAGACAGAATTAAGCGAAAATATTACTAATCAAGATAAAGATAAGCTTTTTCGTTTATCGCTGTACAAGGAATTAAAAAAAGTTCCAGAAAACAAGCGTTTAGCTACAAAAATTAAATTGCTCAAGGTTATAGAGCAGGGGCAAACATTACCATCGCCCATTCGTATCATAAGCCAACAAAGCACGCCTAATGCAGGATTCTGGCAGAACCAACAGTACTCAAATCAACAAGGATATTTTACTGGATATTCTAACATCGCAGAGTCTCCATCGCCTTCATCACGCACTAGCACCGATGACGGCGCACAGTCTTCTATCGTACAAAATATATATACTGATTGTTTGAAAATAAATACCTTACCTTAAAGTAATCACGAGTTTTTGTTCTGGTGACACGCTCGACTTCATATGGGTATCAAAAGATCCAATTTGTTCACTGATTGTTTCAAGTAATTCATTAAACGAATTTATAGACATTCTTAAATAGTTAAAAAACTTGGGCTCATAATTCCTCAACTTTGGGTATAAAGCCGTAAACTGACCATGGGTGAGACGATCACGCAAAATTGGATGAACCCAATACTTTCGTTTTCTTTTTTTTTTTAGGAGCAAGTACACACATATTGCTTTTTCGACTTCCATTATTGAACTGAAGCCACTGTCACACTCCCTCTACTCACACTAACCGCGCGTGTCTGAACACTTTCTATCCTCGCGGTTTGGAACCACGCGGTTTGCATCTGCGCGGATTCCGCCGTGTCTGAACAAGCCCTTACTCTTCAGTATAGTGAAAACATGCATGCCTTTTTATCTGTACAATAAACTTACCTGGTCCTCTCGAACGCAAAGGTTGTTGTTTCCTCTTTCGCGTGGTGTTATTCTCAAAGTACCTCCGCATAAAACAACTGCCTTTAACGGTAGTTTCAAATATATGGCCGCTAAATTATGGAATAGTAGTCCCCCTCCCCTGCGCAACCTGTCATCCATTCAATCTTTTAAAATTAAAATAATACAGTACTATCTCGAGCTCCAACTGAGCGGTTAGGTAACAATTTTTGTTTATTTTTATTTCTTTTATAGTTAGTTTATTTATTTTGTTTCTTTTTATTTCTTTAAGAAAAATAAACTTTAATGGAATTGTTTGCTTCAGTAGTGACGGCCTTTTCTAGTTCTAGTTCCTCTTTATTAATTTCTCGGAAGAGCAGTATTTCATACATTCAATTCTTGTAAAGACTCCCAACAAGTGCAGTATTTTATATACAGGGTGGCCGGAATAGTGACGTCCAAAAAAAAAATTTAGGTGCCTCACATTGAGAGGTATCCGAATCACCCCCATGTATGTTTCGCGATTTTTCGTAGTTTTCGAGTTATGAATTTTTTTATGAATTTTTTGAAATTTGTAACCTGATCGCAAAAAAAATTTTTTTTCAATTCTTGCAACATTTTTGGGGTTTTTTTTTGTAACCTAATCTTTATGAATTGTACTTTAATGCACAAAATAATCGGCTTCATAACGTCAATGGAAGCTATGAAAGTTTTGACTCAAAGTGGGAATATCGCGTTCGAGCAAGTTGAACTTGAATTTTCAACTTTAAATTAAAAATCTAAACCTGCAATTTAATAGCTCTTTAGAAACTGCGCTAGACTCTTAACTTTTGTGTGAATATAAAAAATCTAGTACTTAATACGGCTTTATTCGCTGAAATCAGCCTTCAAAGGTATTAAGGTCGAAAATTCCTTTCAGTACTCTCAAAGGAATTTTCGATTTGACTAAAAAAAAATATTGCCTATTTCGTCATTCCTAAGACTAATAATGGCAGAAACTGTATAGACTAAATAAATCATAACTGCAAAAAAGGTAAGATCTGGAAATTTTAAATTTTATTTAATATTATCTTGAATTTTTTGCGGTCTGTTTTCGGAAGTTTTATTGCACGTTATCTTTTTTTACGTGGAATAACAATGGATTAAACAAGGAATATTGCTGTCTCTCTCACTCTTTGTAGCTAGAACCGGTGTAAGCGAGAGGAACGGAGAGCAACGGAATTCAATGCAAACAGGAATTGCCTCAGTCGTTCTCATATAGTGTTTTCTACTAGTCGTGTCGTCGTTTTACCTCTACCACTACGCTCGCTTTGCCCACGGACCCTGCTACCAACTTATCTGACTACTTAGCTCGTTTATTGGACTCTGTTATGCATAGTGATTTGGACTTTGTTTACTTGAAAGTGTTAAAGATGAGCTACACGTTAAGGGAATATGCAGAAATGCATTATTTTTATGGAGTTGCTTATGGAAACGGCCATGAAGCAGCACGACTGTATTGTGATCAACTTCGACGCCGAGGTGGACCACAACCCGATCGATATCCCGATCATCGTGTTTTTACTAACACGCACGGCACAGTAATGGAAGGCCGCATTCCTGGTCGAGATATCCATCGTCAAGCAGCCTCTAGAGTTGATCCGGATCGCAGAGAAATAGTGATAGAAGCACTTCGTCAGTGTCCATCAACGAGTACGAGAATTATGGCTCGTACACTAAGCATCCCAAGATCGTCTATCCAAGAGATAATTCACGAGGAAGGATACCACGCATATCACATTCGGCGAGTCCAAGCTTTACTGCCCACAGATTATCAACTGCGGGTTAATTTTGCCGAATTATGTTGCGAAAACAGTGAGAGGATCCCCAATTTTTTAATAAAATTTTGTGGTCTGATGAGTGACGATTTGAGCGATGTGGATATTTAATATTCATAATTACCACACATGGGCGGTCGAAAATCCACACGGGGCGAGACCTTCAACGTTTCAACATCGATTTAGTGTGAATATGTGGTCTGGTATCCTCAATGGAGAATTAATTGGGCCGTTTGAACTGCCGTCAAGACTTAATGCAGATAAGTATAAAAGTTTTTTGGAAAACGATCTACCACAGTTGACGGAAGACGTTAATCTTGAAATTCTACGAACCATGGTATTTCAAAACGACGGCCACCATAACACAACGCAACACAAGTGCGAAATTATTTGGACCGAATGTACCCGAACAGATGGATCGGACGAAATGGACCAATTAGTGGCCTCCACACTCACCTGACCCCAACCTCATCGACTTTTTTGTTTGGGGTTTTTACAAAGAAATAACATACGCCCGAGCATGTTTGAATGAACAAGAACTGAGGGAAAAAATCCAAGAAGCCGGACGTGCTATAAAAGGCAACAGACAAGATTTTCGAAGATTGAAACAAAATTTCTTGCGTAGGTGTAGGATGTGCATTTTTGTTAGAGGCCATCATTTTGAAAACATTTTGTAGATAAATGTATTTTCATCATAATCAACTGTGTTTTATTAAATGAATTGAAGACCTGAGTGGATGAAGGTGATATGTCGCATTTTTAGAGTTTCGCTGTTCTATGCATGGATGATGGTGTTATGTACATATAAATAATTTTAAGCCTTAAAACAACCACGTTTGTGGCTATTTTAGAAATTCACGACTTGATGAAGGTGTCATGTACACTATTATTTTTAATCAATATTGGAAGAATGTGGGTATGGGCACTTAACATTTTTATAGACGCCTAAAAAGTAAAATGTTAACTTTTCTGTAGTGGATGAAGGAGCTATGTGGCTTTGCACTGTACTTACAGTGAATGAAGGTGTTACGGCGTCAACATTCCGTTCCGTTTATTCCCGCTCTTTTGACAATCGGACGCACGAGTCGCTTGTTGTTGTCAAAAATATTTTACCCTTAATTTGGCAGGCAAAAAAAAATGGAAATATTATATTTTACTTTTTTTCTAGGAATTTACACAGGTCTAATAAATCATGGAAAAATATTTAAAAAAATATATTATGTATATATTTGAAAAAAAAACCCTGTATACCACGACATACACTGCCAAATTTACAGTAGTATACCTTTTATTTTTCATGTATGCTGGGCCATACACTGCCAAATTAAGGATTTTTATTGAGAAAAAATAAAACAATTTTTTCCAGCGAAAGATATAGTATTATTTATCGAATTACACAAAACGAAACTTTATAAATGTTTCCTCCAAAAATTAGTAACTCTGTCAATAAAGAATAACTAAAAATACAAAAATCGGTCAATTTTAAAAAGAACTTAACCTTTTCTTTAAAAAAATATTATTTTAACAAAAAAGTTACGAAAAACAAAATAAGACTAAAATCGTTAATTTTTAAAAAAAGTAAAGATGATAGAAATTACTTTTTTACGTGATATTCTAAATGACAATTTCTATTGTTTTTGCCAGCTACAAAACAAACGAATATTGCACTTCATACAGATTACTGTGGTAAATTTTGAGCAAAGACGGCATCTCCCTTGAGTGGTGAAGTTCAGAAAGTGACCTGTATTATCATATCTTATCTCTTCAATAGGCTGAGCTAGTGTT